GGCGGGGGGAGGCGGGGGGACGCTACGCGCCAAGATGGCGGCGCCACTCGGTGATGGCGGCGCTGTGAGGCCGCCAACATGGCGGCGCGTGCGCCGGCCCGCGCGGCGCTTCCGCTTCCTCGCAGCCGAGGGGGGAAGCGGCCGCCCTCGCTCCCGCTCCGCCTCAGCGGCCGCTGCTCTCCCGCAGGCCCGAGCCGCGCTGCCGCCGCCGGCGGGATGTCGCTGAAGATGCTGCCCTGCAAGAAGAGGAAGGCGGCGGCGGCCGCGCAGGAGCCCAGCGGCGCCGAGGAGGAGGAGGAGGAGGAGGAGGAGCCGCCCGCGGCCGAGCCGCCCGGAGCCCGCCCGCGGCGGGAGCCCGCCGAGACCCTCCCCAAGGGCGGCAAGAGGCCGGCGGCCCGGCCGGCTCCCGAGGCGCTCGCGCCACCGGAGGCAGCAGACGATGGTAAAGCCCGAGGGAGGGCCGAGCAGCCCTTGGCTGCCCGTTCCCCTCTTTGCTTCCACCTCAAAACTCTGTTTTCCTCCTTGTAGCAGTGTTCCATCATCCATGGGCCCTGTGGGGAGATCGGTCTCAATAACAACTTTTTAGTTGATCCGCTTCTAATGTGGCCTCGGGTGAGGTATCGTGCTGCTGCCTGGCCTTTGGACGAGCTCTTGCAAACACAGGCTTGGATTTGGGACAGTTTTGAAAGGAAATGCTTCGCTCGTGGTGTGTCTCTGCTCCTGCAAGTGCAGGTGGCTTTATTTTCCYCCCAGATCTTGTTTGCAGAATTCTGCAGACACGTCCCTTCCAAATTCTCGGCAGAATTATTTAGAATGGCACTTGGATGGGAATCTGACACAGTCCAGAGCCTGTTTATGTTAACAAAAATTACAAACTGGGAGGTATTTTGGAGCTGCTGATGTAAAAAGCCTAGGTAAATATTTAACACAGAGATTTTAGGTGGTGAAGCTGTTCTAAGGGAGCTTGYGAGAAAGGCAGGAGGGTTTGTGAGCAAAATGATGCCAGATTTCTAGGTCCAGTCTCCTCTAATGCTACYGAAAGAGGTGCCTGTTCCCTGTCCTCGGTTCTTGTTTTCTTCTCCTCATTTTCATCTCTGTGGCAGTGAGTTTTGGGATTACTGTGGCCCAAAAGCGTGGGGGGCAGTTCAGGGGGCTCCTGTGCCGCTGGGTTTGTTCTGCCTTCCTGCTCGTAGCTGTGTCCGCACAAAGGAAGCACCAGTTCTTGTTCCTTTTGGCTTACCTCTGATTTGAACAGTGCTTAAGTTAGCCTAAGATGGTCGTGATTTTACTCCCTAAAGTTGCTGTCAGGTGTGCTGTTATGGTGGCAAATAACGGCATGCCTGCCCCTAGCTGTTCCTTTCTGTGGTTGCAATTCTGTTTATCCAACAGAGAATGTGGCCAYGCTTTAATTTTTATTTTTTTCATTACAATTACATTGACTGAAACCTAATACATACTGTTTACAGGACAAACTCCTCAGCATGAAGCAGAAGAGGAAATAGTTTTGCAGAGAGATCCGTATGTGACCGAGAGCCATCCCGCAGCGCAGGAGTCCCCGCTGCGTCCTTCCTTGCAGCCAGCGGTTAGAAATGCTGCTGTCACGAAGCCACCAAAGAACAGCAGGGCTGGTGAGTGACCCAGGAGACTGAGGAGGAGAGTAGGGGATTGCTTATGTTAAAAGCTCAGTGCGGGGAGCAGACCAGGGCCTTTAATGCAGTTGCTGTGGAACTCAAAAGYGTCTACACCGTGAGCACAAGAACTTCGGAAGTTTTGATCTTGTGTTCAGTGCCACAGTGGCTAAGTAAGCTTTCAGCATCCAAATAATACATGCTGGAACGGATCTCTGCAATTTTTCAGATATTATATACCTTATTGTCCTTTTATTSTTATTTTCTACTTAAACTGTCAAATTTTATTGTTAATTTCCAGAGGAGCAGGATGGAGAGGATATTGAAAGGAGAAAGAGGAAGAGGAAGGCAACCAAGCGGAAAAGAGAAGGAAAAAGTCAAGAAGAGGAAGGGTCTTTGTCTTGTGACATCAAGCTAGATGACACCCTTGATCGCACCTTAGAAGACGGTGCTAAACAGCACAACCTGACAGTCGTCAACGTGCGAAACATCCTGCATGTGAGTGTAGTGGGACTGTGAAAAGGAGCGGAAAATCGGGCAGCTATTTGTTTAAGAAAGTGTGACCTCGACTTTAGTCTAATATGTAGGGTAGTGCTTGATTGCATTTGCAGCTAGTTTATTTCAATCTTAATTAACCCGAATATGAAGGATGCTATTAAAAAAAGACTTATGCTCCTGCAGGAGGTGATCACAAATGAGCATGTGGTTGCCATGATGAAAGCAGCTATCAGCGAGACAGAGGATATACCTTTGTTTGTAAGTAGAAGCTTTTTCTGTTTATCTAAATGTGTGACTGACTACCTTTGTCAGTCTGTATGCCCTGTGCATCCCATGATTTCACAGGGAAGTAACAGGTAGCATCATAACTTACCTGCACGTGCATCTATGTGTGAATGTTAATAGTTAAACAGAACTATCAAGGTTTATTKTCCATCTATTCTAAAGGATAACGAGCTTTTAAAAAAAAGAGGATTATTCTAGTGAACAATTTGTGGGGRGAAGGTTGCAATTAAACAGCTAAACAGGTTGTACTTTTCTCTTTTAAACTCTCAGGAACCCAAAATGACCCGATCCAAGCTGAAGGAAGTTGTGGAGAAAGGAGTGGTACGTATCTCCTTTTACTGTTATGGTCCTTCCCCCGCCCCTGCCCAACACAGCTGCAGTTGTTTAAAGTCTTGATTATTTTAGAAAGTAGGATCCCAAGCTCAAGCAATCCTTCATTTCAAGACTGTGGTCACGCTTTTTGGAGACAGCTAATATGTATTTTGCTATCTTTAGGTGATTCCAACGTGGAATATTTCTCCAATCAAGAAGGCAAATGAGGTAAAGGTAAGCTGAAAAAATCCTGGGAAAGTGGAGAAGGCGCTAGAGGTGTCCTGTTGAGCGGGGCAACCTTTGGAAGGGCGTACCAGGCTTGTACCTTGCTTCGTAATTCTCTAGTGCAGAGCTCTCCTGTGAAAACCTCCTCTCTTTTCTGGTCCTTTGCAGCCCCCTCAGTTTGTGGACATTCCTCTTGAGGAAGATGATTCATCTGATGAGGAATACCAGCCTGAAGACGAGGATGAGGATGAGACTGCAGAAGAGGTAAGTGTAACTCGTTTGGAGATGCGGCCTCCTCATTGAGGAGTTGTCTGTGCGCTTCTCCAGAGTGGTTTGATTGGCTTGTACTTCTCTGTGGCCCTACAGAGCTTATTGGAAAGTGATGTAGAGAGCACTGCCTCTTCTCCCCGGGGAGCAAAGCGGTCTAGGACCAGACGATCCTCTGATGAAGAGGGAGGGACACACTGTGAGGTAAACTTCAAGTGGACTTCTTGCTTTCTTAGGAAACTGCATTTATTGTTCTTAAATGACTAACGAGGGGGGAAAATAGATTAATGTTATGGTGTTACATGGATTTGGGGTCACGTTGTGATAGTTCCTGTATAAGCAATTAGGCACAACCTTGGCAGGAAGAGCTTAGTCTTAGTTAAAAGCAATGTTAGGCTCAAGAAGATGGTACTCTTGTTGAAAGCATAAAGATATTTGTGGTGTCTGGGCACACTGTCAGCTCACTGGAAGCCTTATGGGCAATGTGATAAGAGCAGAAAGTGTCTGAGTATCAACAGACAGGAATGAGAAAGTAACTGTGTACTGTGCCAGAGTCAGGTCAAATGGAGAGAAAAATCTTGTCTACTTATCTTGTCCTTGGAAATTTATGTTCTAAATAAAACCTTTTAACACAAAGGTCTTTTTAAATAGACGGAGAAGGTCACTCCACCCRTTGCTAGACATATTAGTGCTGAAGTAGTTCCCATGGGTCCTCCGCCACCTCCTAAACCAAAGCAAAGCAAAGACAGCACGTTCATGGAGAAACTGCACGCGGTGGATGAGGAACTGGCTTCAAGCCCAGTATGCATGGATTCCTACCAGGTAACGTATTTGGGGACACTGCAGTAGTGTGTGTAGTAGTAGTGTGTCTTTAGTCTTGGATTTTTGGCCAGACTGAAAAACCTCCTGTCAAAGAAGCTGGAAGAATAGTGGGGAAAAAAATGTAAGTGGAAAAAAATGTAATTCTCCTGTACTTTTCCTTTCTCTTTCAGTCTCTGGAAGACAGCCTCATTGCCTTCCGGACGCGCTCAAAGAGGCCGCTCAAGGATGTCCCTCTTGGTCAGCTGGAGGCCGAGCTCCGCGCCCCAGATATTACGCCGGATATGTACGACCCCAACACCGCAGATGACGAAGAATGGAAACGGTGGCTTGGAGGACTCATGAATGATGATGTGGAGAATGAAGGTACATGACAGGTTTTTGGTGTTCATTGGATTTGACATCTGTGTTGAAAGCCAGGAGCGTTTGAGCCTTTTCGTTTACACGTGGTATTCTCTTTGGCATTTGTTACCATGTTTAGTGATATGGATGTGCTTGTTCGTTATGAGCTTTCTTCACCTTTCATGGGGATGTTTGTGGGGTATTTTTTACTTTGCGTGACTCATTTTGACTTTATTAGACTGCACGTGCAATTACTTGCAACCATAATGAAGATTAGAGTGGGTTTCTGCCCTTGCTCTTGTGCTTTGTCATGAGTTTGACTGTCAGTGTAGTATCCTCCTGTGAAGACTTGTTTAAGTAGAAAAAACATTTTGTTCTTCTGTGAGAAACAAGAAAATATTTTGGGGGCTTGAATTCCTTTTGCTCGCTGTTTACCTATGCAAAGCACAAATTGGATTAATAAGAATTCACTCTTTCTAAAAGTAGTCTAAAAGTAAAAAGGTGCTCTTGATGGTGCTTCTATAAAAAGGAACAGATTCTTCTGGTCTTAGAGACTTCTGGTCTTAGCGGTGCAGGGAAATGACACTACACAATGTATTTCTTATTAGATGAAGCAGATGATGATGATGACCCTGAATACAAYTTCCTGGAAGATCTGGATGAACCAGATACAGAAGACTTCAGAAATGATCGTGCTGTGAGAATCACCAGTAAGTTCTTTASGAACTCCAGTTGCTTTGCTCCAGTTTTCCAGTTACTAATTAGGAGTAGTAATTCATTGTGAAAGCACAGGAACTCTGGTTAAATCCTATCAGGGACAGCTCTACTCCATAGCAAAGAATGAAGAATAGCACTTAAGACTGTTCTGTGCCTTTCATAAGGATTCAGCCAAGTCAAAAMTTGAATGCCTGCCTCCTGACTTGAGTATATTATATTTTCGTAATTCATTATAGTCTGAGTTAGCAGACTTAAGAGCATATCACTTGTCACTGTTACAAAGTGTACTAATTTTAGCTCTTACTTTAGACTAACATTATTGATTACTTTTTATGGGTTACATATTGGAAGCAAAACATTCTCTCTAAGTCTGTTAACTGGAATTTTCTGGGGCACTGCCATCGGGAGCAGTTAACTCTCCTTCCTGGCCCTCTTCGTTTGCAAGAGGGGGCTACATTTTACAAGAGATTCTGTCAACAACTTGGCATTATGGTGGGACTGCTGAGTATGGRAAGGTTTCATATGTCTTCTAAATTTTACTTGCAGAAAAGGAAGTGAATGAACTGATGGAGGAGCTGTTTGAGACGGTAAGTGGTGAGCTGGAGGTAGCACCGAGGAATAGACATGGCTCAAATTTGGTTTAAAATTTCTGAAGTTGTAAAGGGGGGACCTCYGAGATGTGCATTGATGAATATATGAAAGGGACTTTACCATGGCAATGTAGGCTTTGGGGGGAAGGAGCTAATATAGGACCTTCTGTAAATCCCTAGAAAAGATGAAAGTATTTGTTGAGATCATTGGTAGTGCATCAGGGTGAGCTCTGAACTAAAGAGGGCGTTAAATTGCCCCTGGAGTTTTCTCTTATTGACAACTCGGACCATCTCATCAGTTTCAGGATGAGATGGGTTTCTCTAACATGGAGGATGAAGGTCCAGAAGATGAAGATAATATCACCGAGACACGGCCAAATTTCAATACACCGCAGGCGCTTCGGTAAGGTTGTTTGGTTAAGTGAGCTGGCACGAACGGTGTCTCCTTGTTTATGGGGCAGATCAGCTCAAGAGCAAGCTGTATCTGTTTGGGAAAGGAGCTAAAATGACAGCTGGATGTTTTTGTCACTCTGTCTAGATGAGCAGTACTAGAGAAGAGTGCAACAGTTATTTAACCAGCTACAGACTAAAAGCAAGGAAACTTCCTTGTATGCTATCCATAAGAGATATCCCTGCTGTGTTTACAAGTACTGTTTTATTTCTTCAAAGTGGAAGAAAGCTATTGAAGTAGCGGGGGTGATGGCTCTTAAACTGTGCATCACAGATATTAAAATGTTATAATTGTTGGTGAACAATCATTAAATCATATGCTTACCAGAATTTTGTCTGCTTAATACCAAACAGATTTGAAGAGCCTCTGGCGAATTTATTGAATGAGCAACACCGGACAGTGAAGGAGCAACTGGAGCAGTTGAGAATGAAGAAGTCTTCAACCAAGCCAACACAAGAGATCGAGAAATCCAAACCTCAAAATGAGAAGCCGCTCCAAAGCCTTGTTCTGGACAGTGCGCAAAGAAAGAGGCTCCAGCAACAAATGCAGCAGGTAATAAAATAGATACTATCAGACTTATTAAGTTAGTATTTGCTATATACTGCAATAGAGGGCAAGACAAYGGCACAGCAAGCACTTCAGTGTGTTTCTTTCAGACATGGTTTGAAAGTGCTGTGGGATATGTTTCTGTGAAGCAGAACTCATCTTTTGGCATCTCTGCTGTTTTTTGTGGGAGACGGTGGTCTCGGCAATGAGTAAATTCAGACTGTGAAGTCATTAATCTGTCATTCTTTTTTCATGTAGTGCTTCACTACTTGAAGAATGTTCTTCCTGATGCAGTTGAGATACCTTTTTATTTGCTTTGATTTTGGGGGCAATCGGAAGACTTCTTGTGCTTCTGCCTTTATGCTGTAGGCTGCTTTTGAGTTTCATAGATTACTGAAGAAGAAAAAAAAAATGTATGTCTGATTTTATTCTTTCAGCATGTTCAACTTCTGACTCAAATCCATCTTCTTGCGAGTTCCAACCCTGCTTTAAGTTCAGAGGCTGGTACCACCAGGATGTTTTTGGTAAGGATATGTCTTAAAACAAGCTGCGTGAATTTTAACAACCAATGGATGTATTTATAGATTTTTTTTTTTTTCTTAAAGAACGGGACCAATTTTTTTAAAGTCTTTATCTGTGTTTGCAGAGTGAGTTGGGTAACTTTGCTCGCAGTTCTACACTCCTTCGTCAGTCATTCAGTCCCAAGTTTCAGACCATGTTCCAGCCGTGTAACTTGAAGGGAGCCCTGCAGCTCATTGAAGACTTCCATGCCCAAGTCCAAGTTGACTGGAGCCCTCGCAAATCCGTGAAAAAGAGTGGTATGTTTTTGAAGGGAAGGAAAGCATTAGTACAAGAGCCATCTCGTGCTGTGAACCTGTTTTTTCTTTTTGTGATGGTTAAAGGGTGAAGTTATCTGAAAGAAATAGATCTTTTCATAAGCTGAATTGAGGAGGAAAGGATGTGTGGAGGGGAGTGTGTTTTGATAGTCCAAATTGGAGAGAGAAAATAAGAAATATGCATATTCTGAAGACCAAATTGAAAGCAATAGAGGAAATGAAACAGTTTTTACAAATTGGTAGTAAACAGCATTTGCCCATGAATGTGCCTCTCCTCATTTGTCCAATTCTTTTTGCAGCCAATGAATTCCCATGTTTGCCAAAGCAAGTGGCATGGATTTTGGCAACAAGGAGAGTCTTCATGTATCCAGAGCTACTGCCAATATGTTCCTTGAAAGCAAACCCGCCTCGGGACAAGATTATMTTCACCAAGGCAGAGGACAAGTAGGTGTTTAGACCTAGTGACTAAAACACATACAAATGAGTGGGTGTTGGAGAAGTACTAGGCTGCAAGCTCTGGGGACATCAGGGTATTGTGGAACAAGACATCCAAACGACAATCTGGAGTACTCCTCTAAAAGACTCCTTTCTTTTTTCACTCCCCTGTCCCTCTYTCCTTTCAGTTTATTAGCTTTAGGTTTGAAGCATTTTGAAGGGACAGATTTTCCAAAGCCTCTGATCAGCAAGTATCTTCTACCAACAAAAACTGCCCACCAGCTGACAGTACGAATCAAGAACCTCAATATGAATCGAGCCCCCGATAACATCATCAGAGTGAGTGACACTTTCAGATTACTTTTTGATACTTCTTGGATTTATTTGTCTGTTTGGTCATACAAAAAGAGGTGTGCTTTTTATGACCTTTTTCTGTCATGTTTTCACTCCTTTTCTGTGCAGTACTATAAAAAGACAAAGCAGTTGCCCATCCTGTTCAAGTGCTGTGAGGAGATCCAGCCTCACGAGTGGAAGCCACCCGTGGAGAGAGAAGAGCATCGCCTGCCGTTTTGGCTAAAGGTACTGTTTCTGATGTTTCTTCATCCAGCATGTGATTTTTTTTTTTTTCTTTCTTGCTTTACTTCCAGAAGCAAGTTGCTGTCTGCCTTTTGCAGCGTTTGTGTGAAGACAGTGAGCACCTATGGACTGGACTAATAAGCTCTTGTTTCCTTAGGCAAGTTTGCCCTCCATTCAGAGGGAATTGAAGCAGTTAGCTGAAGAGGCCAGAGAGATGCCAGCTTCKCCTGAAACGGAATCTGTCTTTGTGGGGGCAGAAAAGGAAACTTCAGACACGGAATGCGATGAAAAATAYCCTCTGCTCATGCCCAAGGGGTTGGTACTGACGTTGAAGCCCCTTGCCAATCGATTCTCCAGGAGAGCGTGGAGAAGGCAAAGGTCTTCAGCTCTGAAACCTGTGCTCATTCGACCAAGTCCTTGTCTGCAGCCCATTTCCAACACTCTGAACATGCCAAAAACTGTGAAGTTATCCCAGTCGGAAGCTCCTCCCAGCAAAGTTATGGTTCAGATTCCTCGGTTAATCCAGCCAGCTGCAGTGGTGCAGACTGTGCCAGGAATGCAGCCTTTGAATGTTCCAGCAGTGGTAGGAAGTGGGGAGGGCCTGGAGTTTCCAAATGTGCTCTCTGCTTCCGCGTCTGACTCCAGACAATCTTTTCCAGCTGCTGTACCTCAGGCCCTTGTGTCTCCGAGTGCTGTAACTTTCCAGCCCAAACTCATGTTGCCGGCATTGGCTGGACCCAAAATCCGCAAGCCTGGAGCTCGCAAGGTTTACCAGAAGAAAAAAGGGACAAAATCTGCCCCCGTGATAAAAACTTCGCCTTTGATTCAGCCATCTCCTGTCATTCTCACTGTACCTGCCACCACGGTGAAAGTGGTTAATATTGGCAATGGTTGCAATATGATTCAGCCCATAAATACAGCAGTTGGGAGAGGCACTCAGGCTATTCCAGTTACTACCTTATTGGTAAATCCATCCACTTTCCCCTGTCCATTAAACCAGCCTCTAGTGACTTCTTCAATCCCTTCATTAATAGTTTCTCCCAACCCTGTTGGTCTTTCTACATCATCTGTTGTTGAAAGTGAAGAACAGCTGAATCTGGCTCCTTCCTGCCCTGCTGTAAATAACAAAAGTGTCTATCCTATAGTTGAGCCCAAGGTAGAACCCCAGGAGTTGTACGTTTCCTGCTCAGCCATCTCTCCCAAGAAGGACYGTGGTGCAAATCCTGCCCCTGCAACTAACGGCAGCCAGGAGAAGGTAAATCAGAGCGACTGTTGTAGCTGGACAGTGGTAGAGACAGCGGAGGAGAACGCCTCTGAGCCCTTACCTGTGGACCTGCTGCCTCGTTTAGAAGATGCAGATGAAGCRGTGAAAACTGAGCGTGAAGAAGCAAGCGATTTTGTGAAGGAAGTAAATCCCTTACAGAAGAGGGATCTCCTTTGTGCTGAAGTGAAGGAGGAGTTCATGCTGGATCTGGGCCAGGAGCTCAACATGGAGGCTGCATGCTCGTGTCCAAATGAGCTGAAAGAAATTAAAAAAGAGGGTCCCTCTGGTGAAGAGAAAGGAGAAGAGGAAAGAGAGGATTTGCAGTCCCCCCCTCACAGTGAAGCCCAGGTGGATGCAGGAGCTGTTGCCGGACCACAGGTGAGCAGTGAGTCTCCCAAGAATCATTCATACACAACAGATATTGAGGCAGAATTTAGCAGCCCGCTAGGAAAACCAGAGGATTCATCCAGTATGGATGGACAGTCTGTTGGAACGCCAGCCGGCCCTGAAGCCGGAGGAGATAAAGAAGGACAAGAGGAAGAGGAGGAAGAAGACTTTGATGATTTTACACAAGATGAGGATGAAGAGATGTCATCAGCCTCAGAAGAATCTATTCTCTCAGTGCCAGAGCTTCAGGTAAAAACAGTCCTAACTTTTAAAATATATATATGTATATATATTGCCAGTAACTTTTTCTTCTGCAAAGTGCAAGCTAGGGAGTATCTTGCAAATAATCAGACTTGAATTCTGCTGGGGGCTTTCTCAATTGAGGTTGTTGTTGAATTTAACTGAGAATTGTTTTGTGAAACACACTTGTTGAAAGACAATAAATCAAACACTACGAATATGGTGGTGGTTGTTGCTTTCTAAGGAGACAATGGAAAAACTGACTTGGCTTGCGACAGAGAGACGTTTAAGCCAGGAAGGTGATTCTGAAGAGGAGAATTCTCAGGAAGAGAACTCTGAGCCAGAGGAGGAAGAGGAGGAGGAAGGGGAAGGAATAGAGAGTTCACAGAAGGATGATGAAATCTCTGGAGACCTCTCGGAGGAACCCAAATCTGCCTTCTTGTTGACGAAGACAGCCCCACAGGTGGAAGCCAACAGAATGCCCCCAGGTAGGTTCTTTGTGCTTCTTTTGTCTTGAAGACCTGGGGAAACAGAACTAACATCCTCATCAGAGACAAAACTGGGCTGAAGTTGCATTCAGATTTAATTTCACTTCACATGCCTGAGCATAGTGGTGCTCTCTCCACGTGTGCGACCAATGCTGTGCTTCTTCACAGGAGAGAACATGAAAGCCCCTGGGAAGAGCCGGAGCTCCCACAGGACCAGAAATAAGAGGGGGCGGACTCGTGCCAGCAAAGATACCTCTAAGCTGCTGCTTTTGTACGACGAAGACATTCTGGAGAGAGATCCGCTGCGGGAGCAGAAGGATCTGGCGTTTGCACAAGCCTATCTGACCCGGGTGAGCCAGAGCAGAAGACAAGAACTCTTCTTCACATAGCTACTGAGGCCCTTTTTAATTTCAGAATTTGATCATCTTAGATTTGGTTCCTGTATCTTACGAGCAGTCCCCACTTAGCTCTTAAGGAAGTGATTATGTTGACACAACACAATTGAAAGCGTGGTGCAAATGCCGAGTAGCAAGAATGAAGATCACTGAATTAACTTGGTTTTCTTCCTGAGTATTAAATAATCTTACAAAAGCCTGTCGCTCCTTACAGGTGCGGGAAGCCTTGCAGAATGTTCCTGGAAAGTATGAAGACTTTCTTCGCGTTATCTATGAGTTTGAGATAAGCACTGACAAACGAACAGCTGTAGACCTCTATTCCACTCTACAGAAACTGTTGCACGAGTGGCCGCAGTTGCTCACAGATTTTGCTGCCTTTCTTTTGCCAGAGCAAGCACTGGAATGTGGACTGGTAAGTAGAAGAAAGGAGGAGACCAAGCAGACAAATGTAGATGCTGTGAGAGTGGGAGAAAATGGAATAATTCTTCCTAGGGCAAGGAAAAAGGTGGTAAATCATTTGCTTACCCTCCTATTTTAGTACTTAAAATCGAATAATAAGTAATACTTTTTTTTTTTTTATATATAGCTTAAGTTAACTAGAGATGCTTGTAAATATATTCTTGGACCTGAGATGTGAATCTTTTTCTTTTGGGCAGTTTGAAGAGCAGCAGGCRTTTGAAAAAAGCCGAAAGTTTCTCAGGCAGCTGGAAATTTGTTTTGCTGAAAATCCTGCCCACCATCAAAAGATCATCAAGGTCCTGCAGAGCTGTGCAGACTGCCTCCCCCAGGAGATTGCGGAGGTAACCCAGCCTCCAGGTGTCCCCCGTGCTCGGGAAGTCACAAGAGGGCAATTAGGTGGCCGCTTTCTCTGTTCCCTTACGCTGCTCTCTGAGACCAGGGGTGCGTAACAAGCCTGTTTTCCCCTGGAGGACATGGGGATCGTTGAAGCTGCCTCTTCCTGAGGCTTTACAGTTGTGGCCTTTGTGCATCTGCCTTTATTTTTCCTACTTTCACCTGTTCTTGTCACCTTGCAGGTGAAATTCTAGTTTCTGCTGAGGAAATTGATCCTAAAACAGTTGTAAAATGGTAGCAATGTACTTCCACAGGGGAGTTCTAATGAGCCTTGGTGCTCCATTTGCCTTGAGTAATCCTCCCCAAAAGAATATGACAATATGCAACAAAACGCTGACTTTATTTTATTTTATTCCCTCTGGACTTCCCCTTTCAGCTGAAGACCCAGATGTGGCAACTGTTGAAAGGACACGACCACTTGCAGGATGAGTTCTCCGTTTTCTTTGATCACTTGCGCCCCTCAGCCAGCCGCATGGGAGACTTTGAGGAGATCAACTGGACGGAAGAAAAGGAGTATGAGGTGGAGTAATCGTTTCCCCAAGCCAAGAAAGAAAAGAGCAGAGATCCTAGAAATAGCACAGTTTAGAGGACTTGTAGTGAGGCTGCATTTCTAGAGTGAAGAAGGTGGCAGGATGGCATAGCTGCAGGTGGGCTGGGGCAGTATTTCATATTCTTTTACATCTATACTCACAAGATGGAACTTGTGGTGCCCTGGCTCTGCACTTGATTCTCCCCGTGGGATTTTTGATGCCTCCTGAAGAGCCAGCATGATAAAACCAGTTTGTTTGTTTTCTTTCAGTTTGATGGGTTTGAAGAAGTGTCTCTGCCAGATGTAGAAGAGGAGGATGAGCCMCCCAAGATGCACACGGCCTCAAAAAATAAGAAAAGAAAAGAGATTGGAGGCCAGAACACAGACAAGGTRAGCCTGGGATATCTTGTTAGTCCGTATGTAAGGACTCAAAATCCATATCCAGCAGGATAAATGTACATGTACAGAGAGACATGAGAACAGTCTAAAAGGATTTGAGGAAAGGCATTAAAATATTTTGGTTGTGCTTTGCTTGCTAGCAGCACAACTGCTTTGATTCTGTGTGGGCGTTGAGAGCGTTATGTGACAGTGAGTGTCATCTTGGTGTATAGTGCAAATGTGGCAGCTGGAGTGTGTCTCTTTCCAGGAGGTTGAGTGGGTAGATGGGATGAAGGACTGTTCGTGCTCCTGCCACGAAGGGAGCAGCGATCTCAAGCTCAAGAAGAGCAAAAGGAGGACCTGCAGCCATTGCAGTAGTAAGGTTAGTGGGTAGGTCAAGTTGGTGGCCTGGTGAATCATGCCAAGAAGTTCCGCTGTGTGTTGCGATGGTCTGCCCAGCTTTGGGCCTCCTGTCTGCAAAACACAACGTGTTGGGGAAGAAAACGTATCAAAAAGCAACCTAAATGCTGCCAATAGTGTCTCCCTCTTTGAAGCTTGGTGGCCACTATATCAAAAGAATTGTGCCTGTTAATCACACACACACACACAAAAAAAAAAAAAAAAGAGTCCCATAAACACAAGTAAGTTGGCAAATTGAAGCATTAGTTGGGGTCAGGGGATAGCTTTGATGCAAAGGCTGAGGTGTAAAGTTTGGACAGGCACCACATCTGTAGTTGTTTGTATATTGGTTTGCAGGTCTGTGATGGCAAATTTTATAAAAACAAAGATTCCCAAGAGCTGGCTGTGAGCCTTGYCCAGCAAGAGTCAGGTCTGCAGCCTGAAGGGAGGAGTTCTGGAATATCCAAGGAAGTTGTGGAAGAGAGCTCSGAGAACAGAGATGAGGGAGAGGATGTCCAGAGCCGAACAAAAAATGTGTCACGGAAAGTGGACACGCTGGTTTCAGGTCGGTGAAAGTCTCACAGATGCATCATTCATCTCCAGACTGGTTTTTAAAAAAAATGAAAGCAAACCAGGACTTCCTGGTCTTCCCTACTAACAGCTAGTTTAAACTTGTTTGGTTTTCCTGCCAGGAGCTCCCCTGGAAGGAAGGGTCGTCTCCTGCAGATACACATCTTGCGAAAAAGCTGCGGTGCCCGATATCCACGTTTGGGAAGGAGGTGCCGCTGCTGGTGTGAGTGCTGCAAAGGAGATCCACTCTTGCACCGCTGGCCGAGAGTGGCCAGACCGACAAAAAGCTACTCTAAAACTACCTCAAGAAACCAAAGATGGCTCTTGCACTGTGGGAGGGGACAGTGAGGGACTAAACCAGCTGCGCCGGGGAGATGCAGACACTTCCCTTGGGCTGGGGGCAGGTCCGCTGTCGTCTTCTGCTGCGGGAAAAGATTTAACAGGACTCAGCTCATCTTCTGGAAGTAGTTTATATCAGACTGAAGGGCTTCATTCCAGCTCCTCAGAGGAGCTTACTGTCTTTGGCCACACTTCAAAGTTAGGCGTGAGAGAATCTGAGCGACCGCCTTTGCCTTCGGAAGGGAAAGAACAGCAGAGCTGGGTTCCCCCAGGTAGAAAAGCAGCGACGGGCAAGAGCTGCTGCTTCCAGTCCCCTGCTGCCCCYGTYGTCCTGTCGGAAGCAGGTGCTATGKGCTGCACTGGAGGCTCTCCGGAGAGCAGAGTCAGGTTGGACACRAAGGACTATTGCCAGGTACACGAGCGCTCCGAGGAGCTGGAGTGCCCAGTGCAGGGAGCCTCCTTGGGGCAAAGGGAAGAGGAGCAGCAGCAGCAGCGCGTCACCGAAGCCACCGTGTGTGCCAAGAACAGCAAAGTCAGCTCTACTGGGGAGAAAGTTGTCCTCTGGACCAGGTTTGTGGACCTCCGCAGCACTTCAGCATGTTATTTGGCACTGCCTTTGGTGACAGAAGATGCTTGTGGCAGTGTAGTTGTTTTAATACTTCAGAATGGGGAGGAAACAGGTTTATTTTCTACAGAAAGCAGGGCAGGGTGGGGAAGAGGAAAAAAAATGCAGACCAACTGCAGCTCTGCTTAGAGCTGCCTCTTAGGAGAAGCAGYGGGACCAGCCAGCGGGGCTTGCTCTGTGAGGGAGTCACCTTTTCTCTGAAACTGGCTTGTCAGAGTGGTGTTTTTCCCCTCTGTGTTTTAAGCAGCAATTTCTTGCTTTCAGGGAGGCTGACAGAGTCATCCTCACAACCTGCCAAGAGAAAGGAGCCCACGTGGAAACCTTCCACGCCATCTCGCAGAAACTGGGCAACAAAACGGCTAGCGAGGTAAGAGGCTTTGTCACCTTTCGGAGAGCCGAGACGGCTCCAGCCCTGCTGTGGCCATGGCCACTTTGGCTGATCCAGCACAACGCTGGCTCTCGAGTTTCCCATTCTCCTCATGATAGGAGGGTTCGCCCTCCACCCCCGCCAGTGTCATACTGGGATAATTTCCTTTTGCAGCATCTTTTAGTCCCCGATTCATTTCAGTTTCCTCTGCCCTCCAGGTATCCCACAGGTTCAGAGAGCTCATGAAGCTGTTCCATACGTCTTGCGATGGAAGCTCTGAAGATGAGGAAGATGCAACTAGTACTAGCAACACAGACCAGCTGTCAGATAAAGATCTCCTGCTCTCTGAGGAAGAACCAGATGACTAAGGTTCTTCTGTCCTGATAAGCTACTGACTCCCTCGGTCAGACTCGGTCACACAGCACCTTTTCTGCTTCACCTTCCTGAAATACTTGTGACAAGCTGCAGTTCTAAATCTGTTTTGAACTAGAGCATTGAAGCAAGTTGTAAGAGKAAACGTGCTATCCGGGGAACTTTAAGTTACAGAAGTGAGACTTGGGGACCCTGAGCTTGACCAAGCAGCCTTTTGCAGTGCATGCAATGGAGAACATGTAAATATTGTATAATAAGATGTCTSTTTTCAGGTGGAGCCAAGATGTGTGTTTTTGCAAGTTTCTCTCATGTTGTGTGTGGGGAAAAGTTGCAACCTGAAACCTGTATTTATTGTGCAGTCTCCTCCTAGCACTGTAAAGCAAGTTCAGTTGGTTGCAAAGTAAAAAACAAGCAGAAAAAAAGTTATACAGAAACAGATGTGAATATCTTTTAAGGAGAAGCTTCTTTCCTTTATAACAGAGCTACAACTAGCTGGCTTGGGCCACTCTTTARAAGGATTTTGTTGAAATGAAAGTAGCAGTGGGCCCCATCTTCAAAACCATTCCCTTTATTTCAAAAGCAAGCTTCATCTTGCTCTTTCCACTCCCGTAATAAACACGAGTTAGTCTGAATCTGTTTCATCTTCAGATTCATCGTCTTCAAAATGTGTTTTATAGCAATCTGCTAGAGTTCTGAGGTCGTGGAGGGCCTCCCGAAAATCCTCCTCTTCAACTCCTGCGGCAAAGAAGCCGGCCCAGCGCCGCGTGTCCAACCTGYGCAGCTCCTTGTATAAACCATGCAGGACTGTGTGCAGAACAGGCGCAGACTGCAGTGCCGTGACAACGGGGATGCTTTCAACAGCTAGGGGGAGAAACACCCGCCTTAGACCCTTCTCCCCCACGTGAGCGTTTTTTTTTTTTGCCAAGCTAAGCTTAAGAGGCGCACGTTACCTGTGGAGGAAGAGCGGAGAGGTTCCTCCACAATGAGGCCTTGTTTGGTTAGGAGAGAGGAGAAAAACTGTGGATATGGAGGTAAGGTAGGACAGGGCTGCTCGAGCACGTGTGATGTGCTGTAAGGAAGACGGAAGAGTGGATTTTAGGTAACTTTTCCAGCTTCTGTAGCTGTGAAGTTGCAAAAAAAAAAAAAAAAAGTTGCCCACCTGAATGCCCCAGGAAATGCTGTTTGCAGGTAAAGCTGTAGAATCTCCTCCTCTGTCTCACTCGCCTGGAGTGCGGAAGCAGGCCCCTTTCCTGGACAGCTGCCAGAGAGAGGGGCAGGAACTGCATGAGGAGGAACATGCTGCTAACTCGCCTGCTGGAGAGCTGTTTTGCGATAAAACCAGGAGCAAGTAAAATCACTTTTTTTTCCCAAATACCCATCTGMCTGCGTTTAATACAAGGATTGTGGCTGGAATTCCAAAATGATTGTTAAGAAATCATAATGGTCAGAAGAGCCGGAGCTCTGAAGGGAAAAGTAGGGTTCAAAGGCTGATTACCTGCTAGGCTTTTCTTTGCAAATTCCTCTTAGCACAACAGACTGAGCAAAACAGCGGCTGACCTGTTGCTCTCCGCCTGAAGACAGGGGCTTCCAGGGCAGGGCCTGCTGCTGGGCGYGCAAAGTGTCCCGGAGCGAGCGGCCGTGCACAACAGGAAAGGGCAGAGCGGCCTGTGCAGCCACAACCTGCAGCCAGACAGGGCTCCATGACGGCCCGGGACGGTCGCGCTTGCATCCCCACCTCGTCCTCAGAGCGGCAGGGGCGCAGGGGCGCGGGGAGGGAGGTTGCTCTGCTCCAAGCGCTCACCTTCCGCCCGGAGAAGTTGAGYGCTTCAGCGAGGTGCAGCATGGAGCAGGGGGAGGCAGAGAGGCGATAGGGAGCCGTGAGGGTGTCGAGGGCAGCTGCCAGGATGGCGCTGCTGTGGTAGGCGAGCGAGGCCTAGGGGGGAGACAAGGGAAAAGGGGACAGCGCCAATGTTCAACAGCTTCAACGGSTATTCACAGCTGCAGGAGCCTTGCAGCATGGCAAAGCTCAAGCCCAATGCTGAAAGCCACTGCAGTCTGTGGTGCTTCTAGCTCTACTGGCACGTACTACATACATCATAGTTGATATAGGGAAATGTGATGGGAGGCTCTGGCTTCAGCCCTAGACTGCTGTTGAGTGTCAAGGGGCAAAAGAGCGAGCTCTGGCTGGAGAGATGGACGATGGCCAGGGCTGTGTTCATCAGTCTGTAGAAATCCTTTTCCAACACCTATAAAGAGAAACAATCTGAATATTAACAGCTGCAAGCAAGAACCACTCGAGCTTGGGAGAGGCAGGAGCACTGCACAGAGGCTTGGTCTTTTACTTTGCTTACCTCTGTCCTCTGAATGACTGGAGTCAGGCCCCAGGTCAGGATTCCCTTTCGAGAATACTCATCGTGGAGCAGTTCCGTCACCTTGGCTCCCACCCCTGAAAAGCCATCGTGCAGGTCGCACAGCACTTGAAACCCCTGCAACAACAGGGCAGCACTTAAGCTCTAGCCTAACCCAGCAGCTTTCCTGTCAGAAAACAGCAGCCRCCCAACCTGCAAATAGTCACACTCCTCCACGAAGAAATGCAGCCGGTCGTCCAGCTCCTCCAGACAYGCCGCGTCCTGCAGCAGCCTCTCGCCCTGCCCGAAGGCCCGGAGGCGCCCGGCGGCCCTGCGGAGCAGAGGAGAGCGGTGGCGGCTCCGGCAGCGCTGGCTCCCGCGGCGGCGGCTCCTGGAGGCTCCCGGCCCGGCCTGCGCACCCATCGTGGTTGAAGTGCCGCAGCAGCAGGACGCTGCGGGGGTGCAGCGGCTCCCGCAGGTACTCGGACCAGRGCGGCGCGCAGCTGGGACCGCCGGCAGCAGCATCTGCAACGAGACGGGTGCTGAGAGGCGGCACCTTTCAGGCCATGCTGATGGATTGATCCGTTAATTGATAAATTTGTTAACTGATCGATTAATGGCGAGCTTGCCCTGGGGCCCAGCAGCCTCCCCGGGACTCTGCCCCGCTTTCACCCACTCTACTCCCCRTAAGTCCGCTCGCTCGGAGCCGGGGCCGCAGCCCTGCGCTCACACGCACCTCCGGCGGCCGCTCCGGGGGCTGCTCCGGTGCCTCCCGCCACCTCCCGCGCYGCGTCTTCCTAGGGCAGGGAAGGGCCCGTGAGGGGGCGCGGGCAGCCGGGGCGGGTCGGGGTAGCGGCCAGGGGGCCCCGCGCTCACCCGCTGCCGCCCGCTGTGCTCATAGGCGGCCACGTGCCCATGCCTGCAATGCAGAGGGGCGCCGGTGACGGGGGGCCGCGCTGGGGGGCCGCGGCGCCGCCGCCACTCACCACGTCACCACCTTGGCGGCTGCTTCCCGCCGCGCGCCGGGGCCCAGGGCGCCCAGGCCGCCTGCAAGGGAGCGGATCAGCGCCCGCCGCCGCCGCCGTGCGGCCCCGCCGCCCCCC